AAACAATTTGTGTAGCTCTACTTAGTTATTATAAAAGTTACTCTAGCTTACGTAGAACTTAAACACTCTTAAAATAAGGATTGTAGTTTTAAGAAAGAGGCTAATTTAGATAGAATATAGGCATAGCTACTACACTATTCTAGAAAATAAAATTAGATTAATATCTTTTTCTATTTTGTATAATCTCTATTCTTCTAGTAAATATTAATATTATCTTAAGCGTTAGAAGCTAATAAGCATAAATATAGAACTTGTTGCCTAGTAATAGTTTTTCTAAGAAAGTAGAAATATTAAAACTCTTTATATAGTAGCTATATGCGTCTCTTAACGCTAGCACACAATAACAAGGTCTATATATTTTCTATTATTGCTAGTCTTGTTCTATAATATTTGCTCTGCCTCTTCTACTCTTATAATAAGTCTACCTTACTAACATCTATCTATATAACAACAACCTGCTACTTCTACTAGTATAGCTAGTAATAACAAAGAGGTAAGAGGCATAATACTCTAAATAAGGTCTTTACTAACGTTATACAGGCTAGGTATAACGCCTATAGTTAGGTTAGTTATACACTATATATAACTACAAGACGCCTAACACTATATAGATTCTTAATAGCGTTAACGTTGTTAAGAAAACCTTTGCAAAAAAGAAGAAGGGCTTTGCTCTTACCTAGGTCTATAAGATTCTCTAGAATAATCTAGATAAGAACTCTACTCTTAGGCGCTCTTTTATTATTAAGAGTATTAAGATAGCGCTTAACAATAATAACAATAGCAAGATTACCTAGGTATTCTGTTGCCTTAGCAAGGTTATAGCGTTTAGTAAGACTTCTTAGATCTTCTTCTCTACTAGTAACTAACATAGAATAGGTAATAGTTCTCTTATACTCTAGAAGAAGAAGTTTAAGTTAGCCTTTATTAAGTGTTTCTAGAGGCGTCTTCTTACTCTAACTAAGAGAGAGCTCTCTTGTAACTAGATACCTTGTAAGTCTACTAAATAGTGTATAGGTAACTAGTCTAGACTACGCTAATAAAAGATTTAGTATACACTAAACCTAACGTTTTTAACAATACGCCTAGTACTATTAGCTGTCTTAGCTTAGCTAGTAAGATTTGTTCTAAGCCTAGTACGCTATATTCGCCTTGTATAAATAACAGTACTTAGAGTATAAGTTAGTAGAGTAGTGCCTATAGTAAAGATAATAATCTAGAGTCTACTCTGTTAACTGCTAGTAAGAAGCAAAAGGTAGAGTAGTTTAGAACTTCTTCTAACAAGAAGTAGACGCCGCGAGGGCTTATTTAAGCGTTGTTTAGTAGTCTGCCTAAGGCATTACTACTTAAAAACAAGAATAAGAAGTGTAACTAGAGCCTAAGCAGAAGGTAAATCTAGATTTATTAATATAACACTATGTCTCTTAGAAATAGCCTTAGATTTACAACGTTAGGTGTATAACTTTAGTTAGCGAATTAAACGTTAGCTTCTCTAAGAGATAGATATACTATTATTAATAGTTAGGTATTATTAGTTTGCTTACACACATACATTAATAGAGTTAGATAGTATTCTTATACCTATTAATAGCTAGAGTAACTATAGCTAAGCAATACAGCTTTATATTCTAAGAAAAATATAACTATATTAGTTATTAATATTACATATGTATAATATTAGTTATATATAATCTTAATAGTAATTTATATTATATAATAATAGTAATATCTAGATTCTATGTTATATTGTTAGAACAAATCTTAACACTAGGCACATTCTTAGTTAGAATGCACTAGCATTAATCTCGTTATCTACCTGTTAAGTCCGACTACAGCCTATGTAGAGAATAAGACAACTCTAATTAAATTTGCATCTAGATAACTCTATATTCTAACAGGCAACGCATTGCTTTCTATAGTTAGATTTGTTACTAGGTTATTATAGTAAGAGAGATATGCTTGCCTATAGAAGTCTATATAACTAGCTAATAGAATAGAGATAGTAGTAGAAAAGGCCTACTTAAAGAATGTAGTCTAGTAGCGTAGGTATATTAATTATAGAAACTATAGACTGTAGAGACCTTAAAGCGCTATATTCTATAAAAAGAAGTCTAACTTGCGCTAGATTTGCAGTGTATAGTACTCTAACTATAGAAAGACTCTAGAGGCAGTAAATCTCTAGACACTATACTATGCAAATAGATAGAGACGTGCTTATATAACTACGCGTTGTATATGCCTTCTTGCTCTAGAAGGTAGTAGCATAGTATAGTTTGCCTAAGATAAGAGAGAGAAGGTGTTGTACTAGTAAAAGACTTTGTAGATAAGTCTGTAGTCTTTCTACAGAAGCGCATAATATGTTAATATAATATAGTGTTAGAAGATATTATTAGAGCGCCTATAGCTACAGCATTTCTCTCTATTAAGTAGAGACTCTAGTATATGTCTAATAACAAGTACAAGGATTTTAAGACGTAGTTTATTTAGAAGGCAATTCTAACTCTTTTAAGTATCTATTCTTAGTAATAGAGAAGGTATAGAATGTAATAGTATAGAGAGAGTAGCAAGACACTATTATAGAAGAGGCGCAATTTAAGCAAAAAGTGCTAGTATAAGAGAGAGTAGACTACATAGATAAGGCTAATGTTGTAATTTTAATAAGCAGAATTAGACCTAGCTAGAAAACAGAGGTATAGTGCTGTAGATTCTGTAGTTAATAGCTTAGGCTATGTGCGTTTGCTCGCTAGTAACTCTAGTATAAAATTTTTAAATAACTTAGTAACTATAACATTAAAACCAAAACAAAGACGCTAGATTCTCTATCTCTATATCTATTAATAACACTTAAGCACTTTTACGCAATATTACCTTAATCTTTAACATATACCTCTTACTCTTACCTACTATACCTATCTAGACTTGCCTATCTATACTACTACACTTACGTGCTACGCACGCTGTTATAGAATATTACAACATCTCTTAGCCTTTAATAGTAAACTAGCGCAGTTCTATTCTTAGAGAATTAATTAACTTTCTTATTAATAGGTTTTAAACAGTTATCTCTGCAGACTATTATCTAACCTATTAAGAATTAGGCTAGGTCTAGGTTTGCTTAAAACGCTGTAGTTACACTATATACCTTACCTGCATTGCTTTAATCGCTAACACTAAAACTAGAAACCTTTGTCTACACTACTATATAGTTCTCTATAATAATAATGTTCTTCTATATAAACTAGAGTTTGTATTAGAACGTTCTTGCTCTCTTCTTCTTAAATGTTACCTAGAGAAATGTTCTACTAAACACTACAACCGCTATTACTAAAATATAGACGCTCTCTATATCTATATTATATTTGTAGATTATTACTTTACGTGCTCTTACTTTTATAATAAAGGTAGACTTTGCATAGCTAAAGCATTCTCTTCTAATAAAGATGTTAAACGCTACAAGGTTATAGATAGAGAAGCGCATCTAGACTAATATCTAATACTATATTGCACTTGCGAAGGTAATAAGGCCTTGTCTAATAGAGAACGCTGCTACTATTAAATAATAGTATGTTGTCTTTATAGAACCTTATTTACATTATATAATAGTAAGTACTAATAAAGAAATAGTATTACTACTATTAAGTAGAGTTTACGTGTTCTTGTTCTAAATGCAAGAAGTAGTTTACGTTTAAGAATAAGTTAAAAAAAACGTTAAATAGTCTTATTAGCAGCTTTGCTAACTATTAAGAGTATTATTAAGTTGTATATAGTAAGCTAGCAGAACTAATAAAAAAAGAGCTACTGCTAATAATAAAGCTGCTAGTAACAAAGCCTGCGTTTAAAGTAGTGTGCTCTTGTTATAATATAGTATTCTATACTATAAAGATATTAGAAGAGCATAGAGTAGGTGCATCTCTAGCTGTACAAGAAGAAGATAAGAAAAATTCTAGAATTAATAAAGACGCAACTAGTGCAAAGGCTAAGAATACTTATAAGCAAAATAGGTTAACTCTTACCTTGTAGTAGTAAGTACTAGAGGCGCTGTCTATTAATATATAGTGTTTTTATATTTATATATTTTATAATAAGTTGCGTATAGCTATTATAATACTTAGTAAATATTATATAGTAGTAATAGAATTAAGTATATAAAAGTGCATGCACATTTACTATTAGAATAACTCTCTAGAAAGAATACATACATTAGATTTACGTATTAATACCTACGTTCTAAAGCATTATTTTATATATATACTAGAATACGTATACAAGATATATATATTAGATAGTATTAAGAACTCTATGTGTAAAGTACGCGTATATATTCTATACGTAAGACTTACGTGTAGAATCTATATATAGAATCTATACACAGAATCTACAAATAGAATCTACGTATAGAATCTATACACTAGATCTACGTACAGAATCTACGCAAAAGATCTATGTACAGAATCTATACACAGAATCTACGTATAGAATTAACGCACAGAATCTACGTATAGAATTAATACTTTAAATCTATATATAGAATTCTTAAATAGACTTAGAGTTTAGAATTAATATATAGAATTTCTATATAGATAAATAAAAAATTTAAAGTATTATCTTAATTCTCTCTATATAGAATATAGAAGTTCTACTATTAGTGTATATACTATTCTACCTAACGTTTCCTCTAATGTATCTAGTAAGAACTATAAAACAGGCTTAATGTTAGCTATAAAACGCCGTAAACTACTACCTAAGAAAGAAGAAATCTAGGCCTAAAGATGCATAAGCAAAGAAGATAAACAGACTACATTAAGAAGAGTAATCTACTTAGTTAACCTTCTTAATAGTAGAGCTGTTGTCGCCGCTAGCAGCACTAGAGGCATACTGCTAGGCATGCTACTCTTACTACTAGCTCTATAGAACTTTATTCTAATAGAGTTAGCGACACTCTTAAGCTTCTTCTACTAGAACTTATACTTATTCTTAGTAGCGGTCTAGTTGTTGTTAAGCTACTAGACAGTCTTGTTAATCTTAGCAGTAAGCTTCTGCTTATTACTAGCATTAAGCTTCTTATTAACCTTAGAGTCGCTAAGAGTATTATAGAGCGAGTAGGCGTAGAACTTAAGAGCGTTCTTAGTAGAGATACAGGCAGCCTTAGCCTTGTTCTTAGCCTTGTACTTCTTAGCCTTAGCTAACATGCGCTTAATCTTCTTCTTAGATAGACAGCTCTTGTTATTAGTAATAATAATCTTGTTAGTCTTTCTAGTACTCTTCTTAAGAGCAGAGACGTTAATAATACTATTAGTATTAACGTTAAAGGTAACCTTAATCTAGAGAACACTGTAGAGAGTAGGTAGAATACTAGTAAGCTTAAACTTTCTAAGTAGATTGTTATTCTTAGTGCGAGTACGCTTATCTTTCTAGACCTAGATAAGCACACTAGGCTAGTTGTTAGAGAAGGTAGAGAAGACCTTAGACTTTTTAATAGAGGTAGTGTTGTTGCGCTTAATAAGAGTAGTTATAACACTACTAGTAGTCTTAATACTAATAGAGAGCAGCGCAACGTTAAGAAGCAGAATCTTAGAGGTAGACTTAGAGAATGTGTTACTAGACAGAATAGCGGTCTAGACAGCAGCACTATAGGCAACAGCCTTATTAGAGTTAATAGACTTATTAGGCTTCTTACTATTAAAGAAGTTAGAGACTATCTTCTAGACCTTAGAGGTACAAGTAGATCTACTGCCTAAGACAATCTCGTAGACAGAAGACTTATTAATCTTAGTATTACAGAGAACACGCTTAATAGGCTCTATAGTAGAGTAGAAGAGGTTCTAGTAGAGCTCTTTAAAACAGGCACAGGTAATACTAGTGTAGAAGTTAATACTCTTATATAGGGAGTTAATTTTAATAGAAGTTTACGCAGATAAGAACAGAGTGCGCTTAGCCTTTAGGGTTAGGGTTAGGGTTAGGGTTAGGGTTAGGGTTAGGGTTAGGGTTAGGGTTAGGGTTAGGGTTAGGGTTAGGG